GCTGGAGGAAGATGCATGAATTAGTTACACCGACAAGAGGAAACTCTTAAATGATTAAAAAAAAATCAGTTCAAAAGTTAGTTTGCAGAGATAAGCATCTTAATTTTTACACAAATTCACATAAACTCATAATTTATAAAATTCCGAGTTTTTAAAATAAAAAGAAATAGCTGAATCTTATACCTGTTCTTCTCAGCTGATATTGTATACCGAATGGGCAGTAGTATCATAAGAAATGACTATTCAAAAACGCTTTAAATTTAAATTTACTTGATTAATATTATTTTCTGTTGTCTGTAAGAGATTGTCCTAGCGATAAGACCGCCTTTTGTACCTTTATATGTATATTTTAACCTGTACTTCATGCCACTGTATTTCAGTTGAATTGTTTATATGTCATTGTTTAATTTTATGTTTTTTGTGCAATAAAGAGTTAAATAAATAAATTATTTCTTTATTTCTTTCGAGTGAAATTTTTTTAACAGATAAAATGGTTTAATGTTACTTTGCCTAATTTCATATATTAAAAAAAAAATTCTTCAATCAAACATAATGAGTACAACGCTGCAAATGTACCAGTCAGTGAGGGATGATAAACTCAGATCAGTCGGCTGATCCACAGAGAATTCGTTTGGAAGTTGGTCTGACAAGGTATATTGTTAGCAATGGGGTCGCTAGTCCCCATTACAAACAATCCTATCCCCCTAAGGGAAGTTATTGTATTTTATTTCATAAATCTATTTATATAGTTTATTCTTGTACAGTGAGCAATACAGAATGAAATAAAGAACGGAGAAGACAAAATCAAGCTATCTTATTTTGATATAAAAAAACAATATCAACCTTGATAATTAGTTTGATTAGTATAAGATCAACAGTGAATAAAAAAATAAAAAATAGAAAAAAAAAATCAAAGCAATCGGTATAGAATTGGTGATGATGTCGCTAAATATAGATACACACAAAAATACAGTAAAAATAGAAAAAAAATAATTGCTACCTATTTGTTAACAATTGAATGTTATTTTAAACATGTGTATTCTCTTAGAACGGTTATAATGATCATGATGATAGGTTGTAATGATAATGATGATGATTCTCTTAGAATACGAGAGAACTAACTAAGTAAGTGGGTAACTAAGTATTTATGCTCGTATACCAAGCATGTTTTCACTACATAAGAATAATATCAAGAAAATATCCGCGAGAGTCAATCCCCAAATATTTTTAGGAGTAGATTTAAAGAGCATCTTCTATCTCTATGAACATATATTTATTTATCTATAAATGTAGGTATATTATATGTGTATGTGTGTATAAGTATATGTATAGATGTAGGTATATATTTATGTATATATGTATTTGTACGATTAACCCTTAAATACCTGAAGTTTCAAATTTGATACCGGGGTTATAAATCGCATTGGGCGCCTACAATCGATTTTATTTTAATATTTGGCTGTTTACATGTTACCAAATGTTTTTTACTATTTTTCCCCTTATATATTTTTTAATTTGATTTAAAAAATCAGGCTTTTTATGGTTAAATATAATGTAATTAATTTAATTTAGTCTGTTTAAAAATTGTCACAATATTGTACACTGCTCTATCCGCTGACATTGATGCTCCTTTCCACTTTGGGTGTTGCTGGAACAAAACTCTATTAGAGTTAAACTCGCCTTTGTACATTTGATTACCTCTGTCATATTCTTACAACTGGTGTGTACAATAAAGAATTAAATAAATATAAAAAATATCTTTTGAAACAACAGAATTCACTTTATTCTGAAAGGTTTGTACAATATACACGCAGAAAGGATTGCACAGATAGGTTCTTCTAATAAATAAATTGTATTCGTGTATTATTTATATTCATAATTTTTTAATCAAATATAAAAATTTTAGGTCTCCATACGGTTGTATTTTTTTAAAATTTGTTTACCTTTTTTTTACCACACAGGGGGCAAACGAGCATGCGGCTCACCTGATGGTAAGTGACTACCGCCGCCCATGGTCACCCACAACACCTACGGCATTGCAGGTGTGCTGCCGGCCTTTTAAAAAGGAATATGCTCTTTTCTTGAAGGTTATGTTGTCGTATCGGTTCGGAAATACTACTGCTGGAAGTTGATTCAAAAACCTGTGAATTTTTCATAAACAAACCAATTTGAAAGTTCTTTTTTTATTTGAAAATATATATACTTTCAAGTTAGTTCTATAGGGATTTCATTAAAATTGATTTCGTAGTTTAGATTTAAAATCCGAATGACTGTTACAATAAAAATTATATTACTTATTTATTTAATATATTACTAGTAATTCGGCCTGGCTTCATAAGACTGGATAGATTTTTTAAAAATAATAGAACATAAATTGAAAGAGACTATACCCACATAAATAAACACTGAATGAAAACCCCTCTGCAAATAACTGAAGCTTCGCTAAAGATTATAAAAAAAAAATAGAAATTGTATTTTCCCGCCTTTTTCCCCACAAAATTTTTCATGACGCCACCCCTATTTCAATTCAATGTTTAGATGCAACACAGACAGAGCAGCGTCCGATAATATTTGTTAGAGATGAGGTTCAAGAAATACTAAGACAGTTTTATAACAAAGAAAATCCAAAGGAAATCTTTAACTGTTATTAAAAAGCATTTTTATGTTTTCTCCTCACGCCAAGGAATAAAGAGAGGTCGGGGGAAAGTGGGGTTATGCCACCCCTAGCTACACTGTAGCTACTAGGGCAAGATGGCTCTCTGAGGTATCATGAAGGAGTAATGTTGATATAAAACAAACCGAATTTGTCTCGTGAGCACGTAGCCTTTATATGCCAGAACTTATATTTAAGCTTAATAGAGATTGTGATGCATTATTATATGAACTAAATAAAAAATAATGCATTTAGAATCTTATTAACGATTAATTACAAGAAGGATGGATTTAGAAAAGGTTATTATACCCAAATTTAACATAATACAATATTGTCCACGAAACCAAGCGGTGGTGTTATTTAATAAGCTGCCTAAGGAATTAAAGTCACTGAATGATTTAAATATCTTTAGGACAAAACTGAAGTCATTACTGCTAGAAAGGTGTCTGTACTCAATTGACGAATTCTAATTATAGTAAATTTGAATATATACCTATATTGTTTATGTTAAGAGATGACTGAGTGACTGTAATATTTGTTTTATGCTTAATTTAATTTATATTTTATGTACTGTATCAAATTATTGTATCTACTATGACATTCAAATACAAATTTTTGTTTATGAATAAATAAAAAAAATATTATTGTAATGGGCTTGATATTTTTGTCCTAGTAATTTTAAAAGTGTGAAATTTTATAAAAACATGATACAAGTATGTTGGATATATAATATGGATGTCTATTAATCACGCTAAATATAGTTGTTTTAGCGTGAATTTGTTGCATAGATGGAGCATATCGAATATTAGTACTTATATTATTATCGAGGTAAATCTTCGTTCTTCATCTTTTATCTTCATCTTTCTTCTAAATAAGTCCAAATGTAGTTTATATTGTACTATAACCTAAGATTATACTGTTCTATGTGTATTACCATTATTTTTTTTTTAACCTTTCACTCTAAATAGATCAGGCAATCGCGTCGTTCTTATGCCGGGAGAGTTTTAAAAATCGGCATGACCTTTTAATATTAACCTGTTTAAATTTGGAAAGTTGAAAAACTAATGTTTATTATATTAACTACATAACAATACTTCACTAGACGGAGAGTTTGTACAAAAGTCGATTGCTTGGGTACCTCTGTCCCATTCGTGTTTCAACCGTGAAGCAGTTGTGTTTGCATGGCTGTGTTTGGGTTTGAAGGGTGGGCGAATATGGCGTGAATTTACTGGGTACAGAGGAATAACACCTGAGTCCTCAGGAATGGCAACGCATGGGGGGTATCATGGGCGAAACGGTATACTCTGTTATGTCCATATACTACTCATGTCTATAGGCGACGGTTACCATATTCCGTCAGCTTGTTTGCCATTCTAAGTTGTATAAAAAAAATAAAAAAAAACTTGACTGTCATATTGGTTATTCTTAAAATATTAATTTATTTATTACAAATCGCATTAGTGTTCATTATGTCCTCTATAGATAATATAAAAGAATTTGTAGATTTGTATCAAGAACATGTTATCAGTAGGATTTTTATTAATAGTTAGTGTTTGGCCACAACAGAATATCAGTGTTTTGCTCTTTTAAGGGCAAAGCAATAAACTGAGTTGTGACCATTTTGTGTTACTACAGCACACGAATGATAGGAAAAAATTGTAACTTTTACGTATTTACCTTTTTTTATATGTATTTTTTTTGTTTTTTTTTTTACTGTGCATGTCTATCCATGTCTTATTATTTGTGTGCTGTAAGTAATGCAAATAAATTAAATATCTATCTATCTACAATTTTTTTTTTTTATTTACCAATTAGTTATTAGTTCCATGAATAAGTCCACCTATTGTGAAATATCTATACTTTGTCATTATTTCGACAATTATTCCAATGCAATAGTAATTATATAGAAATTGACTTGATTTTACTCTAATAATCATTATCATCGTCTTTAATGAACATTCCTAATCTATTTAATAACAATCCATTTGACTGATAAGACATTTTATCAATAAGAAATTTGTTATCATATACGTACTGTACCTACTTAAGAGATACGAGTTGTAAATAGGTATTGAATTACATTGATAAGGCAATGACTTAATAAATTCTGATTGTTAATTACGCTTCGCGTCAAAGACAAGCCTCTCCCCCTCTAGCATGACTAAATAATTCACGACCTTACTGCTCTGTAAAATGAGGACAACTCACTTAAAATGCGCATCTAGGAATTGTTAATTAATCTACACAGAGGCATTTAGCGTTACGATTGATATGTATTTAAGTTCGACTCGTGTGCAAGAAATTGTACATACCCAATTTGTGAAGGTTGTAAATAATAGAAGATAGGTAAATATAAAAACACATTTATTCTTCATTTAAAAAAAGGTATTGCTTATTATTAACCTTATCACCTATATTATTGATATCATAATGCTTTGGCAAAAGCTGTAACTTTTTGGTATCACATCACAAAATGTTTTTCATTCTGGCACTGCTTGTGTAATCACACTGCCGAATCACTCACGAAGTCACGATTGAAGTGGGCCCCTCAATAGGGTAACTTCTTAGTGCCTAATCAATCTCCACGTGCACTTTCAGTTCACTCCTCGTCCCTTGCAGAACGACAGTCGACGAACTGCCGACCGCAGGGAGCGTCGAAACTTCATTCCAACTTCATTTACGAGTTGATCAAGGCTCTTCGTCTTCAGATAGAGAGGGTAGAGCCAGCTGCCGTTGCATCTTCTGGCGGGGTGGAGGCGAAAATGACTTCTGTCTTCTCAATTCAGTGGTCAGGATGTAGGACCTCGGTTCAGGTTTATATGCTTCCACCTCGGAGTCATCTTCCACCACTGCCGGCAAAGAAGTGCAGCGAGGCTTCTGGCGCCTCGGACAGTCAGTAGCTATGCACTCCATATCGCGGCGAGACTTCGGTAATGCCGGGTAGGCGTCAGCGTACAACGCGGCAACAGTTTCTAGTTTCACAACCATTGTCAATGTTATGAGAAAAGTTTGAATTTCAATTTAACGTTGGGACATGCGATCACTGCGAACGCTCGAAGCAAAGTGCGGGGCGGCGCTCCGTCTCGCTTATTTATAGGCTCGCAAACTGTATTATAAATTGGCTTGTGTGCATTTTGTCTGGCGTCACCCGCGTCACAGACCGTAGGGCCGGCGTCTACTCGCGTTTGTTTCATGACAATAATATATCTAGGAGCCTGTAAGCAATTATGATATAATTTCCACATTTTCATACGTACAGTGTACTGGCATGCCAATTTTAATTGGTGTAATTTTGTCCATGTTGCATTCAATGAGAGGTACTTATCTATATAATTTGAATGCTTTATCTAGCTAGAACGGTCCTTGGATGCCAGCTGTTCGTACACTGTATTTATTTACTAATCAATCACGTACAGGAGTCATGACTTTTCTTTGATTATGTTTCCCTGTCGCGTTTTACCTTGAAATATAAACGGAGAGGAAAATGGCCGCGATTTCTTAGGAATTTGTAAGTCTTTTGGCATGGATTTAAAAAGTGATATTTAAAACAGGTAACTTATCCTTTCTATTGTTCATTTCACAATTCTACCGGTGCAATTGTTCTTTTCTATTAAAATTATAAATGCAAAGTAAGGACGAATGGATGGAATTTTTATTACTCTTTCACACAAAAACTATTGATCAAAGTTGAGTGAAATTTGGTACACGTGTTGATTATATCCTAACCTAGCACATAGAATACTTTATGTACTAATGACGAAGCTAATGAATAATTAGTGGCACTTAATTACATCCTAAATGCTTGGATAAGTAATGCAAACTACCAGGCCTATTGCTAGCAATATAATCAGGTCGACCTCCACGTGGTCCCTCTAGAAACCATCGTGCTCAATTCCAGGCGTATTCATCACGATGAACTAACTTACCTTCCTTTCCATTTTCATCTATCATCCCTCACTGATACCCCGCCAGTGTATACCGATAGCACAGGCGGGGTTACCATTCCATTATAATCTATTAAAAATGACTTAATCTTGACTTAACTACCCAATACACTTATGTAATAAGTCATACGATAATCATTTGAGGGTTATAATTCTGAATTTAGAAAGTATTTAAGAAAAAAGCGAAAGAATATTTGACAGCCAAATGTTACTATACGTTGCATGACTATTACATTGATAAATATTAGGTTATTATATAATTTAATTATGTTTATTGACATTTTTTTACATTTTATTGACATTGTTTTTATTGTTATAAGTTATTATTACTGTAATTTTATATTGTACATGCCGATATGGTAGAATGTGGAATAATGGACATGTAATTATTATTTTCATCTAATGTATGTACCCATATTCGTGCAACAAATGATTTTGAATTTTGAATTTTGAAAAGTACATTTCTTAAACTGTCCCGCTCAATAATTAGGCATATCGCATTGTGCTAACCACTGCACCACGGAAATTTCAAATATTTAATTCGTAAATTTATTTTAAATAACAGAATGCTTGAATGTTATTTATATTTTATTATTATATCTCTTAGATATATAATTGTGATAAGATTAGGAAGGAAATGATTTCATTAGTAGTATATTTCGTATGAATTGCAAACTTATCTAAAGCAAGTGCCCACTGGTAATATTTTTTTAATGGATGATAATGGAATACTTATTCCAACTGCGCTATCGGTATACACTGGCGGGGTACCAGTGAGTGATGATAGGTGAGGATGAAGTAGGTCAGTTATCCTACCGATACAAATCTTCTATACTCTATACTTATAATAAACTAGTAGAGAGGTCAATTCTGTACATGAAATATATTTCCAAAATAGCTACCAGGGGGTGATTAGTGATCGAATTCAACAAAAAATCAATGACGACAGTTTCCAAGAAGACCCGCATGGAGGTTGCTAGTTATAAATATACAATTAGCAATACATATATTAAAAATTATTGGGTTTGCTGGAAGAAATCTTTTTTGGAGATAAGCTCGCCTTTGTGCACTATTATGTTTGTTTTTCCATTTCGATAACCTTTTGTGTAGGTACAATAAATAATAAAGAAAGAGTTGCTAGCAATTAGATTACTAATCTCCACTACTAACAATCCCTTCCCCCATTAATTATTATTTAGCTTTAAGTAACAGAATATTTTATCTTTAATCTAAAAACCTTAACCTAATAGACAAGTAGTTTTCTAATTATTTGAAACGATTAAAAATTTACTAAAGTTATTATCGTGATGTCAAATGCAAGAAGTTTTCATTTCGTGTCTGAATGCAAACTCTATACTATGCTCATTAATGAGAAATGCTATTTTTTATTAACTTTTATCCGCGACTTCTGCCGCGTAATCCAAATACGGGCATGCGGCTCACCTGATGATAAGTGACTACCGCCGCCCATAACCCACAACACCAGCGGCATTGCAGGTGTGCTGCCGGTCTTTTAAAAAGGAATATACTCTTTTCTAGAAGGTTATGGTGTCGTATCGGTTCGGAAATACAGTAGTACATTTATTTATTACATCAACTGATGAAATAAATTTATTTATTTCATCAACTGGGTGAACTTTACGGTCTCCCTTAGGTTCCTTATGTCCACTAAAAGCGGAGGTATAAAACTACCACCACGATTTTATATAATTTAATCGGTACAGTAAGTTGCTAACTTCATATATTTCTTGTGCTAGCCGCAAAATATTGTAATAATATCTTTAGGAATTTTATTTAACTTTTAAAAATAAATTACAAACAACGTCCAGGCAGCAAACAATAAAAAATACCTGCGCGGAAACTTGAAAGCTAATTATGCGGTCGTACCATAAACAATAACCGTAATCCTCCTTCTTTGAATCCTTTTCTTCTTTGATCCTTTGAAATTGTACTCCTATTCAATCGCTGCAACTACCTGTAGTGGCAGGGTAACTTTGGACTAGCTTACTCATTATACAAAAATTTGTTAATATTGTCTTGTTACCTGGAGTAAAGTTAGTCTGACTTTACGTTCATTAATAAATGAGTTTATTTATTTAAACCGTAATGTACAGTTAAATTCTATGTACATATGGCAGACTTAACACCGGAGGGTTTTCTCTACCAGTGAATCCTTAGTATATATATCTCCCCATCCCATATATTACGTGTATACTCAATTTTAAAGGGATTATTTAAGCCGAAGATAATATAATGAGGTAAGAAATAAACACGTTTATTTTAGTTTATTAAAGATAAAAAAAAGATTTACAATTATTTACATCAGGTCATACTTTTACGCAAATATTATACGATCTAATCTACAATTCTAAATCGATTTAGTTAATTATTTTTGTACTCCTGTATTGGCCCAAATTATTGGTTTTTACGGAGAATCTCCTGCTTATTATTTTTGAGTCCCGTTCTGATTCAGACATAAAAATATCGTATCATGTTATAAACTAACCTACAAATTACATACATACTACATTTCAAGGAAATTCTAGCGTAAATTACTACTGTTTTTACGTGATGCTCAAACAGACTCGTAAGAAAATAAACTATTGTATTGAATTCAATGCCACTCATACAAGTGAAGTCAAATACGGTGTGTATTTGATTGTACTTGTATTACACTACATAGGTACTCTTAAAATTATGTTCCAATAATAAAAATTGTATTGACTCGTTTCTTTGTGATGCAGATGTTGTTAGTGAGTTTCTTTGTAATAACTTTATTACACTACCAGAAGCGTCAAGGAAAATATTTTCTCTTAAATCCTATAGCACTGATTGACGGCAGTTTTATTGGTTATATTAAATCGATTTGAGTACCTTACAGTTGTTATTAGACTACCATTTCATTTAGCGGTTCTTTTCATATACCAAACAGCAACGATGTTAAAGATTGTTAGTAATGGAGACTGAGAATCCCATTGCTAGCAATATACCCAACCAGGTCGACATCCTCGCAGTTTCCTCTGGAAACTATCATGGTTAATTCCTGATGGATTCATCATGATGGGCTAACTGGCCTGTTTTCATTCTCATCTATCACCCTTTCACTGGTGCTCCGCCAGCGTATCCCGTTAGCGCAGGCGGGGTTACCATTCCATTTCCACATATAAAAAAAACCTTTTGGCCGCCATATTTAGCCATCTAGCGAGGAAGCTGGGAAACAATATCAATCTACCAAAACAAAAATCGCGGGATAACAACGTCAATAAACAAAAAAAAAAATGCGAGCACGTCGAAATCGTGGTATGCGTAAAATTAAACTAGTAGATATTGCACGCGGAAATCGCAGGATGCCCGGTCAGAGGGTTAGACAACGATATTAACAATTTTTTCACGAAATAAATGCAAGTTATTAATCATAAAATTATTTATATATTAGGTATACCTCTATGGAAAGTCTATGTTTAGCAGTGGACGGATATTGGCTGAGATAATGATGCCGATAGGTATACACTTCCACTATTGTATTTAGACAATAAAACTACTAAATATTTTGACTGGAGATCTTTATGTCGCAGGGTCTTTTGTATGTAATGACTAACAAGGGAATAATGGAATAGTAACAATGTAAAAAAAAAAGTAACCTGAAGAAACCGTAACAAGCGTTTTTGGGAGAACCCCATATTGTAGTAATTATGGATAACATTGACAGGGCGCTAATTCCACAGCCAGATCATTTGCATTATTATGGTGAGAATACGTATATTAACCCTTCTTTGCATGTTTTTTTTTATTGGTGAAATAAAATCAAGGTTATATAATTCATGTTCCAAAATAAAGGATAATTCGTTAAAAAAATACATTTGACAGCTATGTTTTGTTTTTTTTGCAATGGACATTAAAAAAGTAACCAGACGCGATCAACTTAAAGTGAACTTGATCTTTTATATATTTTTGGGCATTCAATGTTATGATGGAAATTTCCACCATTATGCAAAGAAGGGTTAATAAACTGGCATTAAATGAGAAAGTTCGGAACAAATATACAGACAGACAAGAAACATTGTTTTGGCCTCTATTGCCCTTGTAAAGACCGCCTCATATTATTTTTTCCTAAATATCTCCCATGTACAAACATTGTCTAGT